TAATTAATTTTATGTTATATGATTTTTAAATGTTTATTTGAATTTTTGTGAATCTTCGGATATTTATTTTTGTTGTTTGAATTTATAAATTAAGATAAAGTCATTTTTCTAATGTTTTAAATAAACTATGATATTTAAAATTCTGAAATTCAAATTTTGTATTTTCTAAAATTATGTAAACCTTTTATAAATATGGATACTCATTTTACACATGTGGTTATTGGGTGGGCCCATGAGAGGCCACCAAGGGGTGCTACGCCCCACCTAGAGGGATTAATTGATCATCAAGTTAGGTGACAGTTATCCCATGTTAGTTGGTTTTTTATTCTTTGGATATAACCAACTTACATAATAAATGCAAATATTTGAAATATTTAGTAAGTCTTGTTAATCAAGATTGTTTGATTCAAGAAATAAATAATGTATATAATAAATTAGAAAGTAAGATATTATTCTTATTTAAAGATTTGATGGGAATATGTTTAGATAAATAGATGATTAGGTTCTAGCATATTCTTTTGAATCTTGATGGTGGATCATAGGAATGGATGACTCACATATCTCACCCCACACAAGTCTCCTTAGATCGACGATCAAGATTTGATCTTACTAACCATGGCATACCCCAAGGCATAGAAAATCTATAAATAGATGATCTCCCACCCCATAATTCTCTACACCTCTTCACTCTTCTCTCTTTAAGGACTATCTCTCTCTTTTAAAGTCTCAAGAGGGGCACACCCCTCTCCCAAGTCCCATAATTCTCTACACCTCTTCACCTTCTCTCTTTGATTTTTATCTCTCATCTCTCTAAAGATCAAGCAGTTTGTCTGTCTCTCCCAAAAGAGATGTCACGCGCCAACCTAGAAAGATCATCTATCCCTCTTCGGGTTCCAAAGGTGGCATGCCCAATATTTTTTTGATCTCTCTCTCTCGTGGGGCACACTTAAGCTTTGCTAAAGTTTGTGGGTAGCACAGGCGAGGATCCTCTAGCTAGTAGATCTCTTCCTCTCTCTTTATTTATATATTTCATCTATCTAAAGATCAAGTCAAGGGAGCTCGAGCAAGACTAAGGCATTGAGGTCTTAGGTAGTTGGTTCGAGAGATAAAGCCAAGTGGGCTTGAGCAAGACTACAGCATTGAGGTCTTAGGTAGTTGGTTCGAAATCGAGATTCATATGCCATTGAGATAATTTTGATCATAAGTAAGAGAATCAAGAGACCGATTATAGATCCCGATCACCATCGAAAGGAGGACACTCGATGTGGGTTGTACTAAGCCCAGTTGAGGTAATGTCCGATAATTTTACTTCTTTAAAACTTTAGGGGCCGTTTGGTTACTTGGAAATATATTGTCAGTGAAATTTATTACGGGCGCAATACATTACTTGCAAATGGATCGTCACTGTTTGCGTAGTATTTAAGTGCAACTTGGGAAATACATTGTTACTGTTTGGCTATGTCTAGAAGAAATATAAGAAATGCATTACCAGCCAAATATGAAAAATATGGCTATGTTTGACTAACATGATTAGACTTTGGTTTCAACATGATAAGTCATTGGAATTATATGATTGGAATAACATGATTTTGTTGTGATAAGTCTTTTTTTATTTATTTTTTATAGAAGTCTTTCAAATGTCAGTCTATATATAATTTCAAATAAGCAATTAATTTTTATGATACCAAAATCAAATTCTTTATGGTACAAATTAAAAAATGGGAAGAAGTTTGATTAGTAAACTAGAAGGTTTGGTAATTACAATAGAAAATTTTGAAGCAGTGGAGGAGACTAAAGATGTATCTTATTTCAATTGAGCTTTTAATATCTTATGAGGATTATGTTTTGTTAAATTTTTTATTATGATCGTGTTGTGTAATTTCTCATCGATTACCCATTATTATTTTTATTTTTATACTAGACCTGAGACAACCCAAATTAGGGATAGAGGTATGTTGAAATATTTTTATTATGATTGCACTAGAAAATTGTCCATCATCAAGTTCTACAACTGTTCAAATCAATTTAGATTTCCCTCCAACTTCACTTACCAATTATTAAAAAAAATTATTTTTATATGAGAGTGAGATGAGGGCTACAATCCAAATTGGGGATAGAGGGATATATAAATTTTTTATTATGATTGCAGTAGAAAATTGGCCTCCTACAACTGTTCAAATCAATTTAGATTCCCCTTTTCATATCCTCTACTTACACTTTCTACTTACCTTAACAATTATACAATATAGCGTATATTTGAGAAAGAAAAATGTTTTTTTAAGCGGGGCTCGAGAAGAGAGACGCACGCGAAAGATTTCAAAACATTACCCATCAACCTCGTTATAGATTTTTCACCCCTCACTGCGCGTAATGGATTTCATGATTTTGGGAGAAATCTCGGGTAATCTCAGGTAACGTCTTTCTATTTCCTTACTATTAAAGTGTACCCAAACAACGTAAATGTCATATTTTCTTGTAATCTATTCTCACGTAACAGATTTCCAGGTACCCAAACAACCCCTTATTTGTGATTTGCTCATCTTCTTATAAAACAATGAATTTGATTGTTGAATAAAGTTTTATATTTAAAGAGGTAGCAAGTGAGAACCAGCTTTGGTTTATTTTTATTTATTTGTAGGGTGATTTGTTTGTAATTGGACATTGTAAGTGATTTTGTCGGTGTAGGAATAAAGAAATTTTTTAAATAGATACGCCGTGCTTTATCACAAAGTTCTTCTTTCAATAAAACCATGGCCTCTGGGTTCTCTTCCATCTGTGCCATGCCTGGTTTTTATGGTACACATACTCTAGATGTTTCCTTTGGGATCATCTCATTGTTTAGAAAAATAAGTAGCAGCACTTTTGGAATTCAATGTCTACCTTGGTTATCCCAGTAAATGCTTGAAAGCTGAAGCCATCGGATTCTTGAATTCATAGAAAGCATTGGATTGTTGTTCTTGGGAAGGTGTCACTTGTTGCGACTTGGACTGCATTAAGTGTGATTCCATTGCTGCTATGGCGAATCCGGTGGTCGGTTTAGATTTATATTCCTGACTTAATTTAGGAAAATGAGATCATAACGTTACTTAGCTTGTTAGGGTTGAACACTTGCAGTCACTTGTCAAGTGGACTGCAACATGGGTGGCTTCTTTTTGTTTTGGGTAACTAAAAAGTTTTTGGGTAAGTGAAAGGTAAGTTTGTGGGTATTTGAATTCCTACCATTTGGTAAGAAAGGAGTCAGAGACTTCGTCATAGAGAACATGGGTGGCTTTTTGCCCATCAAAGGTGCGAGTCTAATGCATTTTCATTTGTAAATTTCAATTTTTGATGGCGAATACATCGAAATTCAAAAACAGCAAAATGTTTTTTTCAAGTTCATTGGTCGAAATACCAATTGGTTGATTCAGTTTTCAAACTACTAACATGAAATAAGCAGGTCTCCATGTTTTATGATATTCTCTAGAGGTGTTCTATGAACTTTTCTTGAGGAAAGAAATATGAGAAAATGAATAAGTTTTTTTAGTGCAAAAGGAATAGTTATAGTCAAAGAAAGAGAAAAATGGAACGCCTTCCCGGTTATTATCATACATGACAATTGTCAATTTCATAATTTCACTTTTTAAATCTGGAAGGATTTATATATACGGTTAGTTTTAGTTAGGAGCATATTGTTGCCAATGACATTTTTCATGTTTTTCGAATGAGTAACTCATTTTTTTCATGGTGAGTTCTTGTTGGATTTTTTCTCGGTAGGCTGACCTTGTTTTTCCGGTGTTTGCAGAGCTTTCCAAACTGAAGAAGCTCCAGCAATTGTATTTAGGGTCAAATTTTTTCTCTGGTATGCTGCCTGTAGAGATAGGTTTGCTATCATCTCTTCGTACACTTGATCTAAGCACTAACAAACTACAGGGGAGCATACCTCATTCCTTGGAAAATTTGTCCTCCCTTGTAAAACTCTCTATTGGAGATAATCACCTTATAGGATCCGTCCCGCAAGAGATAAGTAAGCTTCAAAATTTGGAGCGTTTGGATATCTCCAATCATTCCTTATCAGGTGACTTCTCTTTTTCTACCCTATCAAATCTTTCCCACCTTGATAGTGTGGACCTTAAGAATAACAGCGGGTTTCTCATTTTTCAAGGAAGCGACTTCAATCCGTCTTTCCAACTATCGGAACTCTAGTTATCTTACTGCTACGTGAGCAAATTCGACATTGGTACATCCATTCTTTCCACTCACCACTCTTTCGAAGTCATCTATTTCTAGTATGATAAATTGTGAGGGAGTGTCCCACCATGGCTTCCACAACTTTATGGTTTTGTCATCTCATATACAATTTTAGTGGAGAGAAACCTAAGAATTTCTCAATCCATTTTCGAGACCTGGATATTTCACACAACTTTCGGGACATAGCTTCTGTCTTGTGTAGTTTCGATGTCCCTCAGTTCAATTCTTTTGATAGGTCCTCCAACAAGTTTTATGGAAGATTACCATCTAATATGACCGGTAATTTTTTGTCGCTAGACTTGTCTAACAACAACATATCTGGAAATCTACCTCACAATCTTACTCTCGTGTATACGCCAGTGGTCATAGACATTGGAGCCAATTATATGTCGAGTCTCATCCCAAGAGAGATTGCAGAAACCTCTAATTTACAGGTCCTAATCTTGAAAGAAAACCGGTTTTAAGGAATATTCCTGATGAAATATGTCAACTACAGCAACTGGCCATTTTAGATCTATCATAAAACAACTTTGAGGGATCCGTACCTTCTTGCTTCCATAAGAACTCTGCTTGGGTAAATGGTAGCAGAACCACCATAAGGGCTAGCACGGATGCGCATGTGGGTTTGGAAAACGAATATGTTGAGGTGGTGAATTTCTACAAGGGCAATGAGTATGGGTACAGTGGAATAGTTCTCTCTGTTGTAACAGGAATTGATCTCTCCTTGAACCATCTTAGCGGCCCCATCCCAATGGACATTGGCATCTTAAAAGGACTTAATTGTATTGAATATCTCCAACAATCATCCCAATGGGACGATCCCAGATTCGTTTGCAGAGTTGTCTCAGATTGAAGTACTGGATCTCTCACATAATATGCTCAAGGGCAGGATACCATCTGATTTAGGTTCCCTAATTTTTTAAGCCAATTTTCAGTTGCATATAATGATTTAGAAGGTGCAGTTCCCATTGTAAACAATTTTCAAACCTTTGAAGAAAGTTCCTATTGTGGAAATCCTAAGCTTTGTTGTTATCTAGGGAAAGAGTGCTCTGAAAATCCTAAGCTTTGTGGTTATCCAAGGAAAAAGTGCTCTCAGCTCCAACAGGAAGACAAGGAAAATGAAGAGAAAATTTCAAGATGGGTGGGGGACAAGCCTGTGCTCTATGCTTGCATTGCCCTGGGGTTTATAGTTGGTTTTTCGGGTGTACTTTGGTTTCTTTTTCTAAGCAAGAAGTGGAGGTTTGTATGGTTTAAGGCCATGGATGGACCGTTTCATTGTGTTTTCTGTGGTCATGAGTGATTTCCTTATGCTTTTCTTTTGTAAGAGGTGAGGGTATTTTGATTATTTTATTTTATCAATAAGATTGTGGTTTTTAGGTGTGATTTCATAAGGCGCATAAAAAATGTTAAGCTTTTCTTTATGCTTGTATTCTTATGTTTTAAATTTCCATTTGCTATCGTACAGAATGGCCAAACTGGGTCGGGCCACCTAGCCAATGGCCATAGTTCGGCATGGGCTATGATCTCTTCTACTTGAACCAGATCTAGGCTCTAGGGACTAGGCTAGCCTTATTCATAAGGTATCCTCTCAACCAGGGAAATCTCAAATGAGATACCACAAGCATATTTCTGAACTTTGCAATGCGATCGGGATTGGGAGTGTAATAGATGAGGGGAAATGGAGGAGTTGGAAAGAGAATGGCACGTGGGTCCTCTTTCATTCTACAAAGGAGTGAATTACATGGACAGAAAAGAAGCACTGAAAATATAAAATGAGTTAATTTTGAGTTAAAATTAAATGAAAGGTCAGCCAACATAAGGTTTTGTTTTCCAAAATTGTCGTTTAGCTCGAGAATAACATCCTCGAGCCGTTTTAGTTCTTTCTTTTTTATCTTTTTTTATAGTAGATGTATGCCCTAATGTTTGGGGCACTACCAAGTCTGTTCGGTCTCATCATCGGACTGCCTTATGTAGTGCTCATCAAAACAGTCCGAGGTCAGCATTGCCCTCTGTAGTGCTCATCAAAACAGTCCGAGGTCAGCATCGTTAGACTGTAAAGACTAATTGTGTTAAGCATTTAGAGGCCATCGAAGCTGCCCATTCTCGGACCTTCTTCTCTAGTGCTCTTTAGGGGGGTCCAAGTTTGGCATCCTCGGACTGCATTAGCTCATTTATTTATAAGAAATAAGGCGGTCTGAGGGTGCCAACCTCAAACTGCCTTCTGGACTGGGCATTGCCCCTCACACTAGGGCACTGCCTAATAACAAAAAATCAAAAAATAAAAATAAAAAAGCGGTCTGATGATGGCACTCGAACCAATGGGCAATCTTGAAAAAAAAACACGGGTTGATCGACATTCCACATATTTTTGACTAAAATTCAAAACAATTTGTATTTTCATTTTTATTTTTTATTAGCTGTACATAAATTACTCTTATAAAAATTGACGGCTTATTCATCAAAGTGAACTCTTGGATATTAAAGAGTGGGCTATTAGGGGAAGAACTTAAATGATGGTCCGGTGTATAACTGTATTTTGTTTCATCAGAATTAGATTGGAAAATATAAAAATGGTCAGGGCGTTCCTTTAAAAGATAAAGATGATATTCTAGGCTATGTTTTGAGTATTGGATTATTTGCTCTCAATTTGAAGAATAGGGATGATTTTTAATAGTGGAAAATATCTAGAGAAAGTAATCAAGGAAAAAAATCTGGTGGTGCGTTAATATGGAAAAAATTATCTATTAGTACCTCACAAAAAAAATACAGTTTTGGTGCTTAAAAACCCTCAAATTGATTGTATCGACCTCAATAACTATGAATATGAGAGAAAAATAGATTTCAAGCTCCAAAAATAATGTAATCCTCGTAAAGTGTTTAACACATCTAGGAAATAAAATTGTATAGAGAAAACTAGGAACCACATTGAGAAGTGCAGTTTCAATACTTAAAATCCTCAAATTGCTCATGACCTTGATAATTATGCATAAGGAAAAGAACATATTTCAAGCTCCAAAATTGGTGTATCTTGTAATTGCCCTTATTTAACATGTCTACATAATTTTTAGAGAGTTTATTCAAATTTCATAATTATAAGCAAAAATAGATTTTTAGGTCATCAATCGGTTTATCAATGCATAAGCTAATTTTCCACACCTTATGAAAATTTTAGTGGAGTATACTAAGATTTTTTGGGAGTACAAATCCCACAAGAAAGAGTAACAAGTAACACGGTATTGTAATTTTTTGCTTCTGTTTTTTTAAAAGGGGCAGTCAGAATAGTCAGTTTTTTAATTTGTTAGTGAGAATAGAGGTCAAGACTTTTAACTGGAGCTTAGGTGGTACTACCACTATAACCCGAGCCCATTCCCAAGGATATTGTAGTTAGAAGAGATTTAAAGAAATAAAGACGTGTAACTAAGAGAGTTTTCGCTCTGGTCAAGGCATATTCATCCATCATGGGTTTTGTACTTTTCACAAATTCTCAAATTACCATAACATCCTACATGTTCAAAATCAAACAAATTAAGTTTAAAAGTTTTATTTTATTTTATTTTCATTGGATTTATTTTTTAATTTTCATTTTATCTAGTTACTCCTCTATAATACTTCCCTTTCAAGATTAGAACCCTAAACAAGCAGCAGCACTGTAGTGATTTGATCCACCTAAGATACCTCAATCAAATATGGATGTAACCCTACTTGATCAAGGTGGGTCAAATTACTAAAATTTCCCTGCATGTTTGGGCTTCCCAACCATAAATAAGGACATACTTTTAGATATTTTTGAGGTGATGCATGAATGAAATAAAAATTAAAAAGGAATCCCTAATAATTGGGATATCCAGTTTCATAAAAAAAAAAAAATTGGGATATGCACTTTGTGAGGGATTTTTTGCCCTTAAATAATAACATTTTCCTTAAGTTTTATGGTAACTTCTATAGTTGCTCTTTAAATGGATATATCTTGACGAGCATGCTGGGTGCAAGACCCAAAATTCTTTTTTTTTTTAATTTGAACCATTTTTGTGATAGTTTGTATTTTGGTTGGTCGATCACCTATTTTAAAGGTAGGAAACGTGTACAAAGATAATCATTTACTTTTAGTATAAGTCGGCTACAATCAGTCTTTTCTATCAATTTTCAAAGCGGGTGGTGTGAGTGGTCTCTTTGTTGACAATCGCTTTCGAAAATACTCCCTACTACTGTTTCACATGGGCAAGCAAGCGTGTCGCCTACCAAAAAAAGGAATTACCATATATTTTTCTACATTATAGAGCAATCTGAGTTGTAAATCTTGATTATTCTAAAGAGTGTTTAGGAGATACGAATTATTCAGTTTTTCCTTTTTCCACAGTTATGCCTATGTTACCATTTACTATTGGGTAAATTTTTTATAGAGCCGAGGCTCTAAACAATCAAATTGGAGCCTACAATAAAAATTTCACTAGAAGTGGTTGTTTTGATGCCCAAATATCTTCAAATTGATCATCTCGACATCAAGATGTATGGACATGAGAAAAAAATAGATTTCAAGTTTTAGAAATAGTGTATTTTGTAACGCATATTTTTATTGTCAAAGATGAAAATAAAGATGAAAATAGTGTATTTTGTAACGCATATTAAGCTTTAAACTTCAGAAATAAAGATGAAAATATATTTTAAAGCTATTACAAAAATTTTCAGTATTGAAACCATATTTCTCAAAACTATTTCAAGGTAGGTTTTAATGTGATTGTTTAGAACCTAGGCTCTATACAAACTGCACCCTTTATTAATTATACAATTTACAAAAATGTAACAAATAACAAGGACCTACTAATTGTTCTATCTTTTGACTGGATGGCTTCTCTTCATTCTATATCCATACATCTTGAGGTCAAGATGATTAATTTGAGGGTTTTTCAGCATCAAAACATTTTTTCTATAGGTTTTTGAGGTTTACTTTCCCTCAATAATATAAAGTCGACATCTTGTATAAACCTCTGCCTTTAAAAAAAAAAAGAAAAAGAAGAAAGTAGATACGCTTTCTTTGCAAATACATAAAAGTTGACCATAATCGAGAATATTGAATACTAAAATACCCTTAAAAGGACCTAAAATTATTCTAATTAGTGAAAAAAAGGTAAAGCGAAGAGTATTTAGCCATAGCACCAGCCACACTAGATTAGTATTTTAAAGTTCATCAATTCGGATCAATTTGGATTGGAAATTGTCAATCTAGAACGGTAATCATTGGAGTCAAGCCGATTCTCGGCAAGGATAAAAAATCGACCCTATCCCTTCTAAAAATCCCTTCTAGTTGTGTTTGGTTGTCTTTTCATTTCCCTCATTATTTCGTTACTTTACAATACTACCCCATTTTGTAGGTCTGTTAAAGCTTATTTCCTCCTTTTTTTTTTTCATATTTTTTTATTCGGCCAAATCTGATACAGCCGATCACGATCAAGACTCGGTAGACAAATGATCCATGCCACTAATCCGTATTTTAAAACACTAATCTAGACTATACAAGACACCGTGAGCATCTCATGTTGTGTGGCTCCAATGTGAATCACAGCTCAAAACACATTCAAATGGATGAAACGCAATAGCATACAAGACACTGACACTCACCAGGGAAGCATTGTGGAATAAGCTCTCCTTGTAAGCATGGTATTGAATCCATTCCCTATGCTGCAACATTAATGAGAGGCCGCGGTTGTCACTGATTTTAGCGAATAATATTGCAGCCAAAGCAATGCACCTGCAAGTAGAGCTGCCATCTGGGCCGGGTCAGTTCGCAGGTCTCATCGCACGGCTTGGCCTAAGGCCGGGTCTAGAGTCTGGACCTATTTTAAAGTCCACAAGATGACTTGGACATGATATGCAAGACCTGAACAATTTTTTGGTTGGGTGAGGGAACTTGGGCCCAGCCCGACTCTAGTCTAAATTGTATATAACATATATTTAGGACAATTGACTAGACTAGTTCGAAATATCAACTATTCTAACTCATGATCATGTATCCTTGAAGAGATTTTTAAAATCAAATAAAAAAATTTGATGGAATGTTAAATAGTTTATCTCTTGAGTTGTTTATTTTCACACAGCATGCACATACACAGCACAAAAAATAGGGACAGGCCTTGCCCAATCTAATTTTTGGGCATGCCTGAACCTAAGTGATATACTTTGGGCCTGGGCCAAGCTACAAATTATAG